AACTATAACTTTTAAATTAGGTCTACGATGAATTCTGAGATAATTTTTGTATATGATGTTGGTGTACACTGAGTATTATTTTTTTGCATATGGAGATCCAATTGCTTCGGAAAGATTTGTTGTGAAGATTTTCTCCACTGAATTATCTCTGTCCCTTTGTTAAGTAAATTACTCACATGAATGGGTCTTTTCTGCCTCTTCTGTTCCAGGGGTGTGTTTGTTGGTCTCTATGCCAATATCACACGACCTCGATTAGCGAAGTTTTAATTTTTGAGTTTTATTGATGTAAGTACTCTTATTTCTATATGTCAGTTATCCATTTATTTAAATAATCTCTAATTTCTACTTAGACATGAACTAACCTCTAATCTCTACACTCAGTTGAGTGTAATATAATAACAATAAGCCAGGTGCCCCTGATTCTTATAGTTTTAGTGTAAGTCTTAGCATCAGTGTTAGCCTTCCTACTTTGTTCTTTTAAAAAATTGTTTTAGGGGCGCCTGGGTGGCTCAGTCGGTTAAGCGTCCGACTTCGGCTCAGGTCATGATCTCGCGGTTCGTGAGTTCAAGCCCCGCGTTGGGCTCTGTGCTGACAGCTCGGAGCCTGGAGCCTGTTTCAGATTCTGTGTCTCCCTCTCTCTCTCTGACCCTCCCCCCGTTCATGCTCTGTCTCTCTCTGTCTCAAAAATAAATAAACGTTAAAAAAAATTTAAAAAATTGTTTTAGGGACGCCTGGGTGGCTCAGTTGGTTAAGCTCCAACTCTGGATTTTGGCTCAGGTCATTATCTCTTGCAGTTGATGAGATCAAGCCCTGAGTAGGGCTCTGCATTGACAGCACAGAACCTCTTTGGGATTCTGTCTCTCCTCTCTCTCCACCCCTTCCCCTGCTCACACACACTCTCTCTCAAAATAAATAAATAAACAATTAAAAAAATAAAATCTTTGAAAAAATTGTTTTAGCTATTCTAGGTCATCTGAATTTTAGAATCTGCCTCTCGGTTTCTCAAAATTCTGTTGGAATTTAAACCAGGATTGAGTTGACTCTCTGGATAAATTTAGGGAGAATGACTTCTTAACTACACGTAGTCTTCTGATTCATGAGCACCGTGTATCTCTCCATTTGTTTATGTCTTATTTATTTTCTTCTTTTAAAATTTCTTAATGTTTATTTATTTTTGAGAGAGAGAGAGGCAGAGCATGAGCAGGAGAGGGGCAGAGAGAGAGGGAGACACAGAATCCAAAGCAGATGCCAGGCTCTGAGCTGTCAGCACAGAGCTTGATGTGGGGTTTGAACGCACGAGCCACGAGATCATGACTTGAGCCAAAGTCAGTCGCTTAACTGACTGAGCCACCTAGGGCCCCGGTTTTCTGTTAGTAATTTCGTTGTAGTACTCTTCAAATCTTTTCTCAGGTTATCCCTATGTATTTAACATTTTTGAAGCTTTTGAGATGCTACATTGAGATGCATAACTAGGATAAGTAAGCCCCCCTTGATAAGATATTTTACCTTTTCATATATTGTTGGATTCAATTTGCTAAAATTTTGTCTAACATTTTGCATTTGTTCCATGAGGGATGCTAGACTGTAGTTTTCTTTTCCTTTGATGTCTTTGTCTTATTTTGGTATCAAGGAAATCCTGGCCTCATAGAATAAGTTGAGAAGTTTCCTCTCCTTTCCAATTTCCTGGAGGAATTTGTGTAGAATTGATATTATTTCTCCCTTTAACATTTGGTAGAATTTAGTAGTGAAGCCATCCCAGCCTTTAGTTTTTTCGTGGGAAGGTTTTTAAACTATACATTCAATTTCCTTAATAGGACTATTCAGGTTATCGGTTTCTTCCTGAGTAAGCTCTGGAAGAATGTGTCTTCCAATGAACTTGTCTCTGCCATGTAAATTGTCCACTTTAGTGTCATAGTGTTTTCTTCCTGCTATTCCATTATTATTCTCTTTTAAAAGATATATTTTTTTAAAAGATTTTATTTTTAAGTAATCGCTACACCCAACATGGGGCTCAAACTCCCGACCTTGAGGTCAAGAGTTGCACGTTCTTCTGACCGAGCCATCAGGTGCCCCCCTTATTATTCTCTTAATATTATCGAATCTGTAGTAATATCACCTCTCATACTTGTTCTCGGTAATTTGTGCCTTTCTTTTTTTCTTGATCACTTTGCTTTAGAGGGTCATCAATACTATTGATCTCAAAGAAATAGCCTTTGGCTTTGTTAATTTTTCTGCAATATTTTCCTTTATTCTATTTCCTTAGTTTTCACTTTGATCTTTACTTTTTTCTTTATTCTACTTACTTTAGGTTTAACTAACTTATTCTTTTAATATTTATTTATTTATTTTGAGAGAGAGAGAGTGAGCAGGGGAGAGGCAGAGAGAGAGAGAATCCCAAGCAGGTTCCTTGCTGTCAGCACAGAGCCTGACATGGGGCTCAATCCCATGAAAATCAAACTGAAATCAAGAGTCAGATGCTTAACTGACTGAGCCACCCAGGCACCCCGGGTTTCACTGACTTTCTAGTTTCTTACCACAGAAGTGGAGGTCATTGATTTGAGACCTTTATACTTTTCCAGTGTAGGTGTTTAATGTATAAATTTCTCCTTGAGTACTTTTTTAGTCATATCCAACAAATACTGCCATTTGGTTCTCTGATTTTTATTCAGTTTTAAAATACTTTTTCATTTACCTTTTGATTGCTTTTTGGATCCATGAGTTATTTCAAAGTGTGTTATTTAGTTTCCAAATAGTTGGGATCTTCCAGATACATGTCTGTTAATTGATTTCTAATTTAATTGGTCAGTGAACATTCTTTATATGACTAGAATCCTTTTAAGTCTTACTGAGCTCTGTTGTTTGGTCTAGAATATGGTCTGGCATGGCAAATGTTCTGTATGTACTTGAGAATATGTATCACGTTGTTGGCTGGGGTGTCTTAGCTAAATGTCAGTTGGATCATGTTGGTTCATGGTGTTCTACAGATCCGTGTCCTTGCTGATGTTTTTTTTGTCTTCCTGTCATATCAGTTATCGGAGGGCGTGTTGGGATCTCTGACGATCACTGTGGGTTTGTTGATTTCTCCTCGTACTTTATATTGGTTTTTGTTTCATGTGCTTTGTATCGCTTCTCGGCCTTTTGGCTAAGATGTTTCATGTGCTTTGAGGCTCTGTTATAATGCCCATGAACATTTAGAACTACTCTGTCTTGATTCCTTGATGCCTTAGCAATATAAAGTTACAGTGATATTATCATCGAAGTCTACTTTAGTGCTTTCTTTTGCTTTGTGTTAGGGTGGTATGTCTCTTCTGTCCTTTTATTTATGTCTTTCATTTCAAGTGCATTTTCATAATGCAACATACAGTTGGGTCTGGTTTTATCCATTCTGAAAAGTTTTGCCTTTTTTTTTAATGTTTGCTTAATTTTGACAGCGACATCAAGGGAGAGGCAGAGAGAGAGGGAGACAGAGTATGTGAAGCGGGCTCCGTGCTGACAGCAGAAAGCCCGATCCAAGGCTTGAACTCACAAACTGTGAGATCATGACCTGAGCCAAAATCACTCAGCCAAAATATCCACTCAGGCCTCTGCCCATTTTCAAGTCAGATTTTTTGTTGTTGTTGAGTCGTATGAGTTCTTTATATGTTTTGGATATTAGCTCCCTATTGCGAATATCATTTGCAAGTATTGTCTCCCATTCAGTAGGTTGCCTCTTTGTTTTGTTAGTGATTTCCTTTGCTGTGCAAAAGCTTGTTAGTTTGATGTAGTCCCAATAGTTTATTTTTGCTTTTGTTGCCCTTGCCTGAGGAGACAGATCCAAAGAAATACTGCTCAGAGCTATGTCCAAGAGTTTACTGCCTCTGTTTTCTGTCAAGGGTTTTATGGGTTCAGGTCTCACATTTAGATCTTCGGTGCAGTTTGAGTTTATTTTTGTGTGTGGTGTAAGAAAGTGGTGCAGGTGCATTCTTTGGCATATAGCTGTCTGCTGTGCCCTACCCCATTTACGGAAGATACTGTCTTTTCACTATCGTGTACTCTTGTGTGCTTTGTTATAGATTAATTGGCTATAGAAGCATGGGTTTATCTCTGAGGTCTCTATTCTGTTGATTGATCTATGTGTCTGCTTCTGGGCAGTACCACCCTCTTTCGGGGCAGTTTTGATTGATTATTTTTTCTCCTAAGTCTGGGTCACGTTTTTCTGCTTCTTTGCATGCCCGGTGATTTTTGATTGGATGCCAAACATTTTGAGGTTTGCCTTGTTTCCTGCTTGCCATTCTGTTTTTCCTATGTTCTTGAAAACAGTTTGATCCTTTCGGATTTTGCTTTTAAGGTTTGTTAGGACTGGAGCGACACTCGGTGCGGTTGCAAATATTCCCCAGGACTGAGGCGAGACTCATCGTGCGTCTTGTACTCATTGTCTCATGAGATTGTGGATTGTTCCGGTCCGGCTGATGGAAAGAGAATTTGTTCCTGGCCCATGTGATCCCCGGATACTTTTCCGGAATCCTTTTGGGTGGATCTTTGCCTGGTCTCCGGGTGCTTTGTCACCTGCATGCACTGGTTTGTCCTCAGCTGGATAGTTGAAGGAGGCAGACAGCGGGGGCTCCATCTATATGTCTCTGTCTTTCCTGGGAGTCTGTTCTGTGTATCTGTGCCGTCTTCCGGACTCTAACCTTCATCCCCTCTGCTCAGGGCGCCTGACAGTTCCAGCTCAGTTCCACCTCCTGTGTCATGGCCTGGATGCTCTCCTTAAGGCAATAGACAGGATAATCATGGGTCTTACCTTGTTTATTTTCTGTCTTCTATGGATCACTGTCTCCATTGCTTGACGGCCAGGGATAGTTGGTGTTGGCCAGAAGTGGGAGCCAGATCACAAGGATTTCTAACCCTTCTTTGTTATATTTTCAAACACATTAACTGAACCACTATAGTCTTTTTTGCTTTGGCAGATTTGACTGTTGTTTCCAACTTGAGATCGATATATGAAATGCCTTTCTATTTAGCTTTCTCTGAGGAATCTCCTTGTTACGAAGAAAACATGGACTGGGAAATCATCACTGATAATTATTTTGACTTTTTGAGTAACTTACTCAAGTCTCCAGCTGCTTCCATAGCCAGGTAAGTTTTCAGAACCCAATTTCCAGGTTTCTATGTAACTATTACCTGAAGACAAGCAGAATCTAGTTGTAGGAAATGCTTTTGCTTTAGAATGTGAGCTCCTTATTTGGCTACTGAACAGTGTTTCATATTAGGTGTTCAATAAACATTTGCTCCATAGAGTGTATATGACTCATGTTTCCACGGATTTTGAAAAGAAAAACAGATGAAAATAGTAAAATTGTCTCTGAAAAGCATGAGTTACAATAGATACCCCAAAAAGTGCAATCTTTGGAAAATAGTCTCATCTAGTTGCCTGCTTGGGTCATGGCATCAGTGATTTAAGATTCTGGTAGTTTTGGAGACTTTTGAGGAGAGAAGTGATCTTTGGAATTAAATCTACCAGATTATATGCTATCCTGCTACTTTGACATATGCATTGTGGTAGAAATTTTTATGTATAATTATGGATATTTTATATAGTTTATTTCTCTAATTTTTACAAGACCAGTGCTCTAACCACTGAGCTATGGAGCCCATTTCTCTAATTTTTAAAAACATGAGTCTTTCATTTTATTTATTTATTATTACTTAAAATTTTTTTTAATGTTTATTTTTGAGAGAGAGAGAGAGAAAGACAGAGCATGAGTGGGGAAAGGGCAGAGAGAGAGGGAGACACAGAATCGGAAGCAGGCTCCAGGCTCCGAGCTGTCAGCACAGAGCCCGACGTGGGGCTTGAACTCACAAACTATGAGATCAAGACCTGAGCCGAAGTCAGACGCTTAACTAAGTCACCCAGGTGCCCCTATTTATTTATTATTTTTAAGTAAGCTCTACACTCAATGTGGGACTTGAACTCACAACCCTGAGATCAAGAGTCGCCTACTCTACTGACTGAATCTGCCGGGTGCCCTGAATATTATGTACAGTTTAAAGCACACTTTATTGTTCATGGGTGTGCTGGGAAGAGATGGGACAGAAGCTTTGCATTAGAGCATAGCTTTCAGACTCAGGAGTGGAACCTATTCTATGAAGTTTGCTAAAAATACAAATTCCCAGAAGCGCTAGACATTGACTGTGTGTAGGAACCAGGTTTCTGTAGATTTAAGAAATTCTCCAGGTGCACAGCAAAATTCAAGAGCCGTTCTTCAACATTTCTCTGGACCTAGGAACTGTCACTCCCAAGAAACTTTTAAATCTCGGGGGTTAGTGGACCAAGGAAGAAGAGCACAGGACACAACCCCGAGAGAGTCAGTCCCTTGTTCAGTTTGGATTTACAATACCTTACTCTCCGGAAAGTCTCAAATATTTAGATGCCCTAGAAAGACAGCAGTAAACCTCGTCTGTCTATGCTCCGAGGGCATGTTTCATTTTATAGCTGTAGACCCAGAGCAGCTGGCATAGTATCTGTCATGATAGATGCTCGGTAACTGGATGTTGACCTAATGAATGAGTGAAGAAATAAAAATAAGGATGGACATTAATCGTGATGGGTATGAAGAGTACTGGGCCTGGAAATAGAAACCCTGGGCCATGTCCTGTTCCAGCCGTATAATCATATAAAAATAAATATAGATTTATAACAAATATATAAATATATATTTGTGTATATATATTCATTATATATTTATGTTATATAGTATATTTATATGTATGTATTATAATATATATTACATATAATATATA